TAAGCTTATTACACACCAGCATCTAGTGTAACAGTTCTGGCAATTAAACACCTAACAGCGGCTGTCTTGCGCACAGCGTGCTTAACCCGAGGGAGGCAAATAAATATGGAGAAACATTCGAAGTCGACTGTAATTCTTGAAGACTTGTTAAGCAGGAAAAGTGATGGCATTTACAGAGGAACTCGTATTTATGACTGAATGGAAGCCAGGCCCACTCCATACTGAAGCAAGATCCGTGTACAAGGTGGAAAAAAAAAAAAGACAGTGAAAGGCAGAAATGACATGGAGCGTTGACTCAACAAATAAATATCCGAGTCAATGAACGTTATCAGAAGAAATGATACATGCAGAAACCATGAAAAGTACACCAGACAAGCTCACAAGCTGTGGCATCACTTCAGAAGTCAGCATGTTTTTGAAGAAAGCAAAGGAAAACCAGAAACGCCATCACACATGACCTACCACCTGTAGCCAGCCATACTGAATTAGTGCCAGAAATCCATCTCCTATGCAACTTTACAATCTCTAACGCCCCCTCTTCCCATATCTAAACAGAATTATAACCATGCTGCAGGATGGGAGGTCAGGAGGTGGTAGATGAGCTCAGTGGAACTGCAGGACAGCCCGGAGAAACTGGAGAGCTGCAGGGTGACCTCCTTGAAGAGAACTAGGAGTAACTGGTTACTCTTCTTTCAGTGCCCGTTGTAAGAAGCCACACCACGAAGGATTACAAGACTAAGACAGCTTTAGAGAGCTGCCTTTCGGAGCAGGCAGACCAAGACACTGCTGTAGGACAAACCATGGAGTGGTGTTCAAACAAAGTTACCACCATAGATCACAGAGCTAAACAGAGCAGTAGTTCCTCCCAGGAAGGAACGTGGTTAATGTCATCGTTTATCACAGCTAACGAAACACAATGCACAATTTAACAGCAAGTTAAAAAGTGCATCCTGCTATTTGGCTTTTGGAATGGCCATGAATCTGTTAATTAACAATAAACCCTTGAATCTCCCCATTCTTTCAGAGGAGAGGAGACACACACAATACATTTCATCCTCACACCTTCACAGCTTTCTATCTAGTTGATCATGGAAGTCCCTCACGTCACCTAGAGCAGGTACCCTGATTTCACAGCTGTATTTTCATTTGTCTAAATTACTTTGTAAATTACTAGGCTGGCAACAGTAAAGGCTGTTCTTTTTATTTTCTGTGACAACAGAATTGGAACTACCTGGGGACAGAAATTGCTCCCACTCAGTAGCGAGATTGACAACTAATTTCGATGACCCAGATGAAAAGGCATATGAGTATCAATTCTCCCATCCTTATACTCCTCTTGCTCGTCCTCACATTGTCAGTTTTGAAGTGTCTACGTTCTAAAAGCACACTTGTTCAATGTTGGAACAACCCCACCTATCTTTAGTTGCTTCACAGCATCCGAAAAGGCTTGGAATCCACTCTCCGTATAACAAACGTTTATTCAGAAACAGGTAATACATTATCTTCTCCAATCCCTAAGGTTTCCTCCCCCTCCCCCCCGTTGTCTTTTTAATAAAACACAGGTGTTTGATGGACAATCTAAAAAAAGGAGAACAACTGGTGTCTTAGGTCCTCTCCCCTACAAACATCCGCTGTTCACACGAAGCACCCTACAACCCTGGTGCCACTGGTTCCTAGACCAGAGAGTACTCCAGAAAAACGAGTCCTGCCAGGTCCTGTTAGTTCCATGGCTGAAAGGGATACAGTGAGAGAGGAATGGTTTGCATAACCCAGACAGGGCAGAGTTAATACAGAACAAGAAAACAAAAGAAACATACGTCCAGATTCCATTTCTTGGTCAACCCTACAACAGCTACAGACGGATCACTACGGTTGAGCAGAGCTGGGCAGGCCAGGTTAGTCTCCTAGACAGAAGGATCACGTTCAAACCCCAACCAGATTCTGGAAGCGGCTCTGAGCTTTTTCCTCTCTTATAATACAATTTGAACAAATGGAGCTATCGGGACTTCAAACACCCATTCCCAGGACGCTGTACGAACAAAGGAAATCTGGGAAGAGAACACCAGGGCCTATGGGTTGTCACAGAAGCTCACTGGCCTGATGTACATCCTTGCTGCTCTGCACGGGATTTGCTTAACGCTTCTCCTCTACATGCTCCTTACACAGTGCTAACTGCTCTCCCCTCCAGCACCTCTCCCTGAAGCCATGACGCGCAGCCACCATTCTCCAAATCCGTGCATGCCAGCAGCATGCCTGCACAGCAGCCAAACAGTGCCTAAGTGACATCTCAAAGAATGAGTTCTCGGGCACGAGACTGTTTCCTATGTGTCCATAATATCTGAAAAAGGCCCCAGCTCCTTCCTTTTTACACGAGGCTGGGCAAGTCAGAAAGTGAGAAAAAACCATTAATGTCCCTGCATCAGCAGGAGGATGCAGTACAGTCCAATGGGAGTGAAACACTCGGATTTTCTCCGGCTCTGAATGCAAGACTGGCTCTTGTTTTTCAGTCCAGAAAGAGAGCAACTGAGCCCGACCCTACAGGGCTAAGATATTCACTGTACAAACACCAGCGCCTTCCCCCCCACCTCCCTGCGTTACCAGAGTTGAAGTATCCCTCCCACAGCGCAACGGGTAGCGCACTTGCACAGGTCCGTTCTGCCTGACACCTCCGTTGGCTGGTACACACAGCAGGAAGCTCAGTTTTTCACACCACTTCTCAATTTCACAGCTGCTGAGCAGAAAAAAAAGAGCGTCCGACAGCCAGAATGAAGTCGTATGCCACCAAACGGATACCAGTCACGGTGCTTCCTGCAGGGAGACACAGCTGACTTTGTAGCCAGCGCAGCAACTTCAGAAACAACGTGGTGTTCTTGCCTGTTGATAGTCAAGGGGATGCACCTTTTAGCTGCAGGTCAGTCAGGAGAAGAGAGAAAGGGGATCACTGCTCCTTCCCTCAAAGTCTATGTGCACTTTTAATGGCAGGTAAGGGCTCTGGAGTGAAGCAGGGAGTTACATGGCATATGCTTGGTAATACCTTACTGGCAGAAGGGGGAGGTTATTCTTTTGGAGGGGGGGAAAAAAAAAAAAAAAAGAAAACAAACCATGGAAGAAAACTCCAACTATGAAAACAGAAGGTACACACACAAGAGGAAACACTATCGTACAGTAAGGTAGCGATCAGAGAAAACAAAAAATTTCAAAGCAGGCAAATGCAAATAACATCTGCACTCCTGCACTTTTCTCACTCCCCAACTTCAACGAGTTTCCCAGTCCACTGCTTGCTCCTGCTTCTCAGAGTTTGATTTTGAATTCTGTGGGCTGCACAGAGGCAGAGACCCCTGAGGATTTGAAGAGTGCCTTCAGGATAGTGTCAGGGTCCACCTCAGCTGGGGGATTTGAGGCAGCGCTTGCACTTGACCGGCGTGGTTCCCCTTCCTTCTTCACTGAAGGGGTATCACTCAATCGGCTGGAGGATTAAAAAAAGCAGGATTTAACCTCTCAGTACGAAATAAAAGTTAACACTATGTCTGCATTTACTGTTCTCGGTGTTGCCCCCTCCCCAGCGTAAGACACACAGGAGGTTTTAAATACCCTTTCCTCATTTCAGACTTGTTTTGACCCTCAGGACTGGGAACACAATGGAGTCAAGTGGTATCGCACTCAGCTCAGCCGGGAGTGCCACAGAGAGGAAAAAGGAGGAGACTATTCATGGCACAGTAATTTGCCAACAGTTTACCTCCCCTCAGGTTCTCCCCAAAACAGAACCTGCCAGCATGTTTGGTTCTTCCCCCCACCCCAAGGACACTTACAGCAGTATAGGCTGGTCTGAGGTGATGACATTCCCATTCATATGAAGATTGCATTTCATTGGTTGACCTAAACAAACAACAGAACAGCCCTTATTTCAGAATCGTGTGAAGAAAGACCCCAGAAATATCACACATTGGTGCAAGCAACAGGAGTTCCACAAGCTGGGGAAACATGAGAAAGAACAGCTGACAGGCCTTTTGTTGCAAAATCACAGCAAGTGAAGAGCCCCTGAAACACTCAGTACAGTATGAAGACTCGCACTAATTAAGAAATTACATGTAGGTACAAAACCCTTCGCAGAAACACAGTAGAATCTCCCATTCTCAGCTGTCTGCTCCTCATCTGACATTCCCCAGATGTCACTCATCTAGAGAAGGAAAAAGCACCTATTTCCAGATGAAAATGAACAGCTCATTTCAGCCTCTACCAACACTGCAGGTGGATCCAGATTAACAACTGCATTGTCTTGGTAGCATCTGAAGTCCTTTTAAACTCCCCACTAAGGTAGAAAAGTCTTTGTTGATTTATCCATCCTAAATGCAACTGGCTTCAAACTTACCATCTAAGCACCTGTTGTTGTATTTCTTATATGCTGTGATAGCATCTTCTTTCTTCACAAACACTACCTCAGCCACGCCGGGATGCACCAGCCGGGCCCGCTTCAGAGCGCCACAGACACAGAACAACTCCTAAGGGCAGAGCGTTAGTCACGACCACGGTCACATCAAAGCTCTCAGTTCAGCCAAAAACACTGAGTGAGGAAGGCTTGGATTCCTAACTGCACCACTCATCCTGCTTCCTAAGAACATGGCAGAATCCTGCCACTTCTCTTATTTTGTGCTTGCTATGGCATGAGGACTTGGCATCAGTAACACAGGTTGCACAAAGCTCTGTACTGCTACCAACACCAGCGGAAAAGGCCAGTATTCTGTTTGTCACACGTGAAAACCAGGCTCGCTCTCGGCCTACTGAGAATGGAAAAGCCTAGATAATTTGGATGAGGGTATAAGTTTGAGGACAACACCAAGCGTGATTTGGCATGCACTCTTCTAAGTAATGCCAGGTAGATCAGTACACCCCAGAAATGGTTTTTCATCCCAACTTAAGCACTCGCTTTTAAAAGAGTGAGCAACAAACAAACAAAATCAGGAACTCTCAAAGTTTTTGCAAGGAAAGCAAACCCACGTCATAGCCCTCTTCACTGCATTCACCACAGATGAAGTGATTTATCAAGAGAGGTAGGTTAAGGGACAGAAGCATCCCTCATCCGCAGTTCGACAGTAAGCGACACTCACAACAATGTCTTCCTCTGTGACTCTGGGATGCAGATTGTTTACGGTCATCTTTGTGCCTTCCAAAGGACTGAACGCCAGCTGCCAGCACAAACAAACACATCACATAAGAAGGTCAGACACACAGCAGGCGAAACTGCACAGCAGAAAAAGCATTAAGAGAGTCACTAAAGGGATGGGTGGGAAAGTCTGTACACACACAAAGGTCACAGCTACAGCCAGCAATGGGAACTATCAAAACTTACAAAAGCCCAGCTCATTCGAGGGTGAAAAGGAGCCCTTTTCCATGCTAATTTCTCCCTGAAGGAACTTTTTTCTTTCCTTCTGTTATACAGAAGTATAACACTAACTTAATCTGCATAAATACACAGTACTCTCCCGTCATGCTCACACTTTTAAGCATGTCTCTGCTGCACTCTAAGCAAGCCAGCAAACCCCAAAACACAGGTCCAGCCTCTCAAGAGCATGCTGAACTCAATACGCCTGGGAACACCTGATGGGTTGCCTGTGCCCAACATCAGGCAGTTTGGCAAAGAAATGCCAGGCAGGTTGTCTACAAATTGCCCAAGAGGTCTTGCGTGGACAGCAAGAAGCTGTATTTGGAACAGTCCTGTTTTTCTCCTTGCTAACAGGAGCAGACAGAAGCCAATATGAATAGCAGTGTTAAAACATTATTCCTAAGGACACGGAAGCCTCCAAGGAGCATATAAACAACTGCCACCTCCCTGTAAGATGGATTCCTCCAGGACCATGTGCTCCCAAGCTAGACAAAAAAGTTGAGAGAAGCAAGATGCACTAACTGAGAACTCCCAGTCTCTCAAATGCTGACGGAAAGGATGTTTAGACAGGTTTCAAAATCTTGGCACATGGGCTGCAGTCATCAGAAAAAGCCTGATGGGGTCCCAGAAATAATGGTGGCAAGCAGGCAGAAATGAGCCGCTTGCATAACCAATAAACACCAAGTTTCAGATGTTTCAGACTTCCATAAAGAGCATCCCCCACTTGCTTAAGCTCACCTCCACAGGTGCTGGTTCTTTCGGAGGCTCCTCCTTTGTCACTAAGGTCCGGGACATGTTTGTCAAGGCCTTTGTCCGCATAGGAGATGGAGGTGCAGGTGGAGCTGTGTACGTGTCATTCTGGACCACTTTAGTCAGGGGAACAGTCTTGGACAGAGAGAATTTATTGCTGCTCAGTCCAGTCTACAGGAAGAAAGAAAAAAAAGTATCTTTGAGAGCTGCAGGCTAACCCTCCTCTTCAAGTGCCAACAGCAGGGGAGCATTACTGTCATGCACCAGGCATGTCCTTCCCGGTGTCAAAACCACAGCCGTGCTGGAGACTTCCAGCTTTGAGACAAAAATCAGCTACAGTTTTCTAGGTATCATTTATCCCAAAAGAGTACTTCTCTCCCTAACGAGCACTTTTTAGTTTCATATTCTTCTTAAACGAACTTTAACTTTATCAGTGTGATCTGAATTTGAAAAGCACCTTTTATCCAAGGACCGTGAAGTACTTTACAGAGTGTACGCAATGGTCCTCATTAACAAAAGACTGAGCTGCCCCAGCACAAACAGCAATACCTCTTCAGAAACACCAAGCTAGGGCAAAGGCATGGAGCGTAATCTTTCGAGTTGGAATTACCCAAGGAGTTTAAAGCCAGGATAAAAATTGTGCTTGGCAGCTGCTGTGAACACTGGAGATAACACATTTACTCCTGCAAAAAAACCCTAAGGCTGATTTTAAGGGTCACAAATGGCCAGGAGCTATTCTGAATACCCACGTGAGAAAAAAACACTGGACAATCATGACACTGAACTTGACCGTGTGATGGTAAAACTGCGTTAATTTGCCTTCTTACAACCACGGAGCTATTTAGGGCAAACCCATGTCCAACCCTCACGTCTGAAACAGGGCTAACTTTAAAAATACATCAGGTTGGCTCAGGGCTTCATCCAGTTAAACCCTAAATATCTCTGAGAATGGCAATTTCACAACCTCTCTATGTCCCTGTGCCAAAGCCTGACCAATACCCTGAGAACTGCACAACTCTCCCCATATCTAGGAGAGTTTACTTTGCTGCAACACATTTGTTGGTTCACGTCCTGCCCGTTCACTCCAAAAGGGTTTTGCCTTTTCCATGACCACCTATTAGGCAGTGAATGTGCATGGACAGATCTCACTACAGCCTTCTCTTCTCAGCCTTAACAGAGACTGCTCTCTCACCTTCTCCTCAGCCCCGACCACCCTGTTGTACTAGTTCCAGTTTGTCAGTGTCTGCTTTGTACCAGAGCCCAAAAGAGGCACAGTACTCCAGGTATGTTCTCAAAATGCCAAACAGATGGCAGCAATTATCTTCCTTGATCTGCCAGCTATGATCTTGCATACAATCTACAGTTGGCCCTCACTGCTGCTAGGATGCACTGTTAACTCATTCTCAGTTTACCACCCAGCAGGACCCTCAGGCTCTTTCCTACAAAGCTGCTTTCTAGCCAGTCAGTTCTTAGCTTAAGTTGCAGAAGATTATCCCATCCCAAGAGCAAGACCTCACATTTATCTGTTTTGAAATTCCATCTTCTCCAGAGCATCAGTACTCCACCCAACAAGCTGCCAACTAAGACTTTGCACGGCAAGAGATTTCCTGCTTGGAAGCCCAGCCTCTAGAAGCAGCAGAAAGCTTCCCTTGCTTGCCTGCTCAAACAAGAACAAGAGAGATCTTCCCCAACAAGAACTCAAGAGCTAACACGCAGCTGTCTGCCAGCAAGGAAGAAAGCACACATTCTGGCTGCAAAAGGCCTATGAAACCACAGTTAGCCCAAAAGGGACACTGTCCCACAAAATAACTCCGGAAGCACTGGCACAAAGGGAAGGGTGAAGAGCAAACGTTTCAGGAGAAAGCATCGCTTACATACTTGAAAAGAACATAAGCCCTGTAAAGCCACAGCCTGTGTGTCCACCCAGTGTGGGCATGGCGTGGTGGGGACTGTTCAGATAACCCCTTACCGCGTTGTGCAGGAAACTGTTTGTGGTGGTGATTTTCATCTGTTTGCTAGTAAGGGGAGAGACACTTTCATCATCATCTTCTGTGTCATACAGGCCCTGAAGAGAAGCAAGGGAACAGTTTACAAACAGGCAGATATGACATCATTTCCAAAATACGTCGTTTTGCCCTGCCTTCGGCCTTCTTCAGGTAATGAAGATGACAACATTAGACTTCACTCCTGTCCTTGCAGCTTGGGGACACAGAGCTGAAGGTACGCAAGTCCATTTCAAAACATCACTGTAAAGAACCAAGCTGCTTTTCCTGAAATGCCACAGTAAAGCTGTCTCCCTCAGTGTACTGACACCACAGGTAGATTTCTCTAATCCATAGACCTCACCAGGACTGATGAAGCCACATCAATGGAATAAAGTCCCAGTAGAGAATTTTCCCTGCTACCTTTAAAGTTGAAGCCTGTGAATATAATTTTTTTTTTAATTTTACTTTTTTTAAAATCAAGCAGATGCCTGACAAATACACCTGAACCCAATGTTCCTTTTGAATAGTCTGCATTCCACAGTGCAGCACATATCTGTCTGGCACTAGAAAACACTGCACTAGGAGGTTTACTGAATGAATAATTAATTTCCCCGTTCAACTTAACGCTCATAGCCCTGCCTTAAAATACCGAGGCAAACTCTTCCACAAATATTTTTTCATCAAGTCTAAATGAAGTTAATGTCTACACACATATGGCACTGCCCAGAACATAAGCCACAACTCCAAACAGCTTCCCATACATTCAGTGGAAAGGTGAAGAAGAATGGAAGCACGAGCAATGACAGCTTGCAAAGTAAGTGGGTTTTCATAGACAGCAAGATTCTGGTTTACAAACAGGAAACTTGATCCAGTCAATGAAATGCCATGAAGGAAAAAAACCAAAAGGGATGATAGAACAGAGGAGAACTGTGCAGAAGAGAACGGGGAAAAACACTAGCCACTGGGACAACAGATTTGAGTTTGAGACAAATGAAATGGATTCAAGGCTTACAGTGATGAGGTCAGAATAATGAAGATACTTTTTTAGGTGACTGGGATAGGTGAGCACAGCAGGGGGAGGTAACATACACAAAGTAAGGTGTAAAAATGTGTGATTCCTCTCTGAAATCACCTAAGGTGGCTGGGGGCTATGACAAAGGCCTTTAAAATTGATGCCAGAAGAGGCAGCACAAATTCTAGGCATTTCCTCAAAGTCTGCTTGATAAGGATATGGCAACTTGGATAGTACATCAGAATAACATTTAACATCATTCACTATCAGGTTTCCAGCAGGGACCCGCAGCTGGGATTTCACAGAAAGATTACACCCTCTCCCACCTCGCTGTAGAGCATTTGACCATGTACAATCACATCCATTCTCTGAAGAGGCTGGCAGGATGGTGAATCAAAACTACCAAAAACTTGATCTGATGTGGCGTCACTGAGAAATTTACAGAAAGATATCAGAGCTAAAGGTCACTGTCTCTAGAAATAAAGAAGTTAGCACACACAGATAAACACTGGGAATACCTACTTTGCATTCATATAACACACAAGGAATCAAGATCAATTAGACTAAATTAAAACCTCGGTTACCAGGAGTATCTTAACCACACAAGAATGAGGAGCTAAGCTCTTGGAGAACTTCCAACACTCCTCTTTTCTCTCCTACTTGAAGTTTTCTTTGCACCCACCAATGTTTTTGGCCACCTTCCTTCCTCCCCCCAAGGTAACAAAGAGCACAGAGCAGGCACACACCTGTTTGTGTGTATGGTTGTTCACCACATTGATCCTCATTAGGAACTGGAGCCTTCTGCTACAGTTAGAGGGAAAGAACCAAAGCATTAAAACACTACAGTCCACCAGATTCCCATTTCAGAAAATTAAAGCTGTTAGTTGATACCCTGAGACCACTTAAATGAAAGTCACTCTCCTGCTCCTGAAAGCTATTACCACACTCTGCTATTAGATAACATCTACGTTTCCTGTAACGTGTCCAGTAGGAGGAAGCTTCACTTAACTGAAAAAATTAAAATCTAAGGCCATGCAAAGAAACTGATCCAAATTACTTGAGTTTTAGTTCAGGATTAGTGGGAAGGGGACTTAACTCCAGCCCTCCCAGCACTGGCGAGATCTATGTTTCTGCCAGCATGACACCAGGAATGGTGCGTATCAACACGCAAGCTGCTCTTCTTTCCCAGTACAGGGAACCAAAGACATCCATTTCCATTGCACTCAACAAGCTGGGACATACCACCATTTAGGTCAGTTCCACCTCAAAAGAGAAGCAGTCTTCCTTCCTGCTAGAGCTGGAATAAGCTGCAGTGGAATAAAGATGCATGGGGTAGGGTAGTGTAGCTGACCCTCCTGCAGCCTGTCATCCCGTGAAACAGGGATATCACAACAGAAGTACACAGGGAATGTAGCTGGACTAATCAGGAACTGAAATCAAGCAGCAACTCCCTCAAAAATGCCCTTTTGTTTTTTCAAAAGGCTGGAAGCTTTCCATTACAGAAAACAATGGATCTTCATACAAAAATACTCCACACGGGCAGTAAAATCTTCAGGCTTGCATTCTCTCTACACTATGACTCACACGACAGCAGCCTCATGTTTCAATTTGCTAATCGATTCAGAAAAAAGAGGACCTGTCCTATGGGAACACCAGCAGAGCTATGGAAATTCTTTGGGTTTCAAAGACGTTTTTTCCTTCCTTTATGAGAAAAAAGGCCACAGGACAGGGCATTAGAGCTCTCTGCTGCATCCCAGATCAAAATACTTTAGTGTGATTCTGCTCCCACATTCGGGAAGAGAAGGCAGCCACGTGCCACTTGGAATTTTGGTACAAATCTTGTAAAAAATGATTAGATAATAGCTCGTGTGCACGGTTTTGTCTACAGTCTTATCACCGTCATATTCAATGGTATTTTTTCTTCCACTGTGCTGTCTAACAAACAGTACCACAGGTCAAACCAAGTCATTGAAAAAAAGTCAGGTCAGAGCAAATTGCCACTGCGCCCAGTCTCCGGAAACTATTTTAACTCCTACGAACTTTGCAGAAAACGTTCAACTCCTGATGGCTGATGGTGGTGATCTGGCTTAGAAGGCCAGCATGAGTACCAATTACCCTACTAATTAAAGACTACTGAACAGACCACTCTGTCGCTCTGCAATTAGCCCTTCTTACTGCCACAAGGATCCTTTCTCTTACTTAGGTCAGCCTGGCAGGAAACCTGCAGTGTCACGGGAAATCCCCTAGGCTAACTTGAAGAAATACGCTTGACGCACTTGAGCAAAACCCGCAGCAGAACGGAAAGCAGACTCCTCTAGGCTTTCAAACTGATGAGGAGACTTTCTGGGTGTGTGAAAGCACACTCTTACATTTGGGAAGAGCAAAATGAGAGAGGCAGGCTAGGAACTGCAGTTACATACTTGCAGAGGTGAGGAACACAACCGGTCCTCAAGCAACAATCCTGAGAGTCTGGAAACTTCTCCCCTGACTCTACCCACTGTACCTGACATGCAGACAGTTCAACAGTAGCTGTTTCTCAGGGAAGTTTGCTAAGAATCAAGTTACTGTGCACACTGCAAAGTGAAACCAGAAAACTGTCACAGGAAATCGGCAGGTTAGGGCGCAATTATACTGCGCCCTATTTACAACCTGATTATACGGCAATTGAAATAGATCTCGGGCCTCAACACGTGACAGGCAACTCCCTGGAAGCCAGGGCTTTCCTGAAAACCAGACAAGCAGAAATGAACTGTAGAAGGGCTCATTGAATTTTATATTTTGGATGCAAACATAGCTGTGTATTCTGAATTGTCATCCCACCACTGGGATAAACCAGTTATCTAGAGACAGGACAAGCCACCACATCAGATTTGCAAAGAATGGTGGCATACGAACAACAAAAAAAATGCAAGTTTTCTTTGTATTTAGGTGGGAAAGGGACTACTTAACCATGCAAAACTTAAATGCTGACAGGAGCACTGGTTTAGTCCTTACTGAGCCCAACATTTCAACAAAAATTTCAACGAAAGCTGGGATTCTACAAGCAGCCCCAAGGACGCGCAGAAGGCTCCGAATCCTGCCCACAGGCCGGACTGCACTGCACCACCGTCGCTTCTACTGTAAACACGTGAACATATTCCTGCGTTATCACCGCTACTGGACTGCTGCAGAGTAACCGCAAGCTCAGGAGTGGCCTGCTTGACCTACTTGGATAGTTTTGGTGATTTTGACGGCTGGATTTACTGTCCCCATCGTTGGGCTGATAGCAGCTGGAGTGCTCCTTTTTAAGCTGATCTTCTCTCTGGCATCCACCACTTTGGTCACCTTTTCAGCAGCAACACTCTGCTGCTTACGGGAATTCAACATCTCTCGAGCATCCTGCACTTTTCCTTTGATTTTAAAGCGAGCGTCCTTTTGAACCAGTTTTTCACGGGCATCTTTAACCCCCAGTTTCTGCCGGGCATCAGTGAGTCCTATCTTCTGTCGGGCATCAAACGTCCGCTGGAAGCTGACAGCCGGCGATGATCTATTCAGGAGATTTTGCTGGATCCCAATGCGAGATCTTATGCCTCCGAACACTGGCCTTGTGTTAAGCCTGGGGGTGGAGGAAGAAAAGAAAGTTTCAGCCACTATAAGATGTGATACAGTATCAATAAAAGTATTTGTGTTGCTGCAAACAAAAGCTCATTATTGCTGCACAGAAACCCACTCAGGTTAGAGGTTCAGATACAACAGTAGAGCTCCTAAGCTGTTTTAGGCTGGATTTTACTTTCTACATAAACAGCTAAGGAACTGATTTCCAAAATCCAGCCTTAAGCTCACAGTTACAAACTTAAGCAAAGCGTCTGACTTCAGCTGTGCTAAGTACATACCACATTTAAACAAAATTCATCAACTTGGGTACTCTGGGGAAACCTCTGAAGGCAGAGGAACAGAAACAGACTTTCTAGTTCTAGGACTGAGCAGGTCTGCTAAGTCTGCTAACGCATCTTTTGTAACACAGTAATATGTCCCGATACAAAGGAAACAGAATTACACATGACTTCAAGAATTTTAGGCAGCGAGTTCAGACCTGTGGGAGTGGACAAGCTTGGTTTTTAAGATGAACAAGCACCAGGACCAATCTCAGTTCAAAGACACCAGTTTCAAACTTGATTAACTACCAGGAAGAATACTTACCAGTCAAATTGCTTTTTAACACTGCTGCCTCTTCTTTAATCTACCAACAGCTTTTTAAGCACATCACCATCACAATCCTGAGCACAGGAGGATAATGGCCCACAGAAAGGACGGTGTTTGTAATATTACTAAGAAGCAGCAGCCCATTATATAGTGAAAGCTGAAACTAGTAGCTTTTTGTTCCAGGTCTGATTCAGTTTTTCAAAATCTCCCCTAAAAGGAAACAGCTTGTCTAATTTTTAGTACAGTTTCTCCTTTAAGTATTTACCTTTCTTTTTTTTTAGAAGACAAAGTGGTAAGAGAAATTTTAACATTAAGGTACTAAAAAACCACTCTTGCTGTTGTCTTTTTAAAATGTAAATTAAGCTACTGAGAACTACAGTGTTCACCAGCTTTTTAAATGCATTGTCCAGTATTATAAATTCTACAAGTGGGTATTTAGAATTTGTTGTAATACTCAAAAGGCTAACATCACAAATTCAAATGATGATGCAATTTGAATTCTTCATATGGCTCTGTATCAGTGTCTCCTGATCTAACTCTGCAATCTTCACATTACTTATAGACAGGTATTTTCAGCAGAGAGATCTGTTAAAAAAAAACAACCAAAAACTGAGAGACTGACCCTCCACTTCTGTCTCTCTCATTCTCATGTCCAGACAACTGGAGAGCTAGGGCTGGGGTCCCATTCTGTTACCTAGCTGAGAATCCTACAGCTGCTCTCTCACACAGCCACAGCACAGAAGAAACAGGAGCATTAAGGCCATTTATTAAAATAGATCCAGACTAATACAGTAGACTAACAGTACCCACAAAGCAACAGCCACAGAACAAGACTTCCCTCGCAATTTTAAAAAGTATTACTTTAGCTATGTTGAAAGCACTCAGTTAGTGGTCCAGAAGGGCTCGATAAGCCATTCTTTTAATGATCATTAGAGAGTTCATTGTAAAACCAGAAATATATGTATTGGTATTTAAGCCAGAATCAGTTAAAACTGTTAACGACACAGACTAATTAAATGAGTTAGGAAATTCTGCACTGAAGATTATACCACCTCTGAAGACTTGTGTTTATCCTAATAAGCAACGCATTCCACAGAGCTTACCCTGTAACAGCACTAACTCTTCAGGCATTTTGTGCCACAGCCCCGAAATAAAAGAGAATCTCCAACACCTAATTCACATCCCAGAAGTCCCAAGTTCTGGCTTGAATATTCTATGGGTTAGTACTTTTTATAAGCGAAGATCTTTCTGTTATTTCATCCAGACTACTGAACAGCATGGGCATAAGGATTTAAGTTTATTCAGTGTAACAGCACTAACTCTTCAGGCATTTTGTGCCACAGCCCCGAAATAAAAGAGAATCTCCAACACCTAATTCACATCCCAGAAGTCCCAAGTTCTGGCTTGAATATTCTATGGGTTAGTACTTTTTATAAGCGAAGATCTTTCTGTTATTTCATCCAGACTACTGAACAGCATGGGCATAAGGATTTAAGTTTATTCAGTTTGCCCAGCAGCTACCTCAGAAACCTTATACAGTGAGCTAAGCCTGAAAAAAGCATTGCAAGACACAAACATTCTAACAGTGCTGCAGAGGAATTACTGTTCAGCAAATAAAAGCAGCAAGAATTCCTGGAAGAAATGAGGGTTAAGGACGGATTTGAGAAAGGAGGTGCTTGGCATATTAAGCAGCCTAAGACTGTTCCAAATACACGGGGTAACATGAATGAAAGCGCAAAGCCAAGGCCTTGTCTAGACTAAGGTTTAAATATGTGTTTGAATGTTCTGCCCGCATACGTTAGCAGATAACCTTCAAAATGCTACTCTGGACATATAAGTGTTTAGAGTTAAAACCTAAGACTGCCCATAGAATCACAGAATGGTTAGGGTTGGAAGGGACCTTAAAGATCATCTAGTTCCAACCCCCCTGCCATGGGCAGGGACACCTTCCACTAGACCAGGTTGCTCAAAGCCCAGTGGCCATTAACTTAAGGAAAAAAAGCACACTTCACTGACACAGATGGGGTGAAATCCATGGACAAGATCTTCAGAAGCATCAAGAGACTATGGCAAAGGGAAGATGAAAAGCTACCAAAGGAGAAGCCAGATAGGAAGTGCTGCGCCAGAGGAAAGGGCCCAGCCTACACTGGAGACATCTGCCATACAAAGAAAGAATCTAATCCTGTAGCTAACCCATGACCCACTCCACATCCACACAAGCATTTCAAACAGTCTGCCAGGGTACCATTCGCTATGCCAGAGAGACTACACTTTTCAGGGGCCAGGCTGCAATTCTGACGAAGCCACCGCCGCCTGAAGCCTCACCTGGGC